TCTCGACTGCTTTGTTGTATTTCTATACGATAGCAATTTGAAGAGCGAACACGAAATGACACACTGAGCTCGGACTACCCAGTTTGTGCGAATGTGCTGCGGCAGTCCATTCTTCTGAGGTGTAGATCAGGCAACTCTCATTCCACGTTGATCGCTGGTACAGCACCTCCGGCGACCGTGCCGTTCGGCCCGTCTTTTCGTTCCACAGCCTCTGGCTCTTCGTAAACGTAGCGATGTCCGGGCCGAACGTTTTCGAGGTTCTGGCGCTGGTAGAGGAGCTGATAAGCGGTGCAGGAGAGAACTTCTTGAGCGCTTACCGGCACCACGCGATCGTCGTTTGCTCTGTACCACTGCGAGTCAAATCGACATGGGCCATGATTGGTCAGCACAAGTCATACCATGCGCGAGGGCAGCACGATCATCTGACCTGGTCGTGATATCTAGTGTAGCAATAGTAGTGCTGCAGAAAATAGCGTGTCATCGCCTTGTGAGCATAAAGTTCAAGCGGCAACTTGAGGCCCCCTTCTCGACAAGCTCACTCCTGAGTGAAGGCTTTTGCCAGTGTGCACGACCACGGCAAAGAGGGTGAAGAGATACGAGCTAGATCGATACAAGAGGTCGTTTGAGCTGTGCTCGGCTGCATTTGCCTCTGTATCAGCATCTGTGCTCACTCTGCGTCGTAAGACAGCATGTCCATGCCGAGACTACTAGTGGTATACTCTCGCAAATCTAGATGCACTGGGAAGCGGACACGAGTTTCGAGCTTGGTTCCTTGTATGTTGTGCTCGAAACGCTACCAATTCGGCCAGGACGCGGTACATGAGCACAGGTCGCTTTCCCATGTACTTGAACAAGCTTCTCACCTTGAGCTGGAAGCAAAGGACTGGGGGCAGCCGCATGAGCGATAACTGCTTGAAAGCCTGAGCGGAGATCCAAGAAAGTGAGCAGGGTGAATGTCCGCCGAGCCATGTCACAAGCGACCCACTTGTGTTCCTTGACCGCAGCTCGCGCAGCTGTACGACTCCCTTCCAAGCTTCTCGGCTGCGCAATATCGTCTCAAACAAGCATCTAGTGTCTGTTCCTCTTCCACTGCACTCTCTTCTCGCGCATCTTTCCCATCCTTCTGCTTCTTCTTGTTATACTTGCGTTTTTCTTCGGCCGGTTGACCTTCTGCGAGCCCTGATTGGGCGCCTGCAGAGGCGCTCTCGGTCCTTTGACGTGCTGATCGAATGTCAAGAGACAAGTCCATGAAAAGATCGCGCGTGGTCGATCTGGATCCACACTGACTACAAGTCACGTCGCTTTGCAACACGCCTGAAAAGGCTCGATGGACCACGCATGGACATCTCATGTCGTCCGACATGGTGGAGCTGTGCTCCGACTCATCGTCCTTTGCAGTTGTGATGCCGGCTGCATGATCGCCGTGAGGAAAATTTGGGATAGCCGGGCGTGCTCCTTCCCCTGCCAGCATGAGTGAGGAGTGTATCGAGGAGATGGCGCTGATGAAGAGCTCGTGGGCATCCTGTTCACCCGGATTCGACAGCTCGCTAGACCCTCCAAATTTGGATAGGTAGATGACGAACAGAAAACTTGTCGGCGCCAAAGGAGGACTTTCCTCGGTGGACGAGAAGAACTGTAAATGTCACTCCGTCAGTCCACCCATTCCGCCCTCAATGCAGTCTGAAGCTTCGCAGCACATACCTCATTGAAGATCTTGTCTAGCTCGCACGCCAAGCACTGCTCTTGCGCTGGACACAGAGCGGGATTGTGCCGGTCCGACAAGAAAAAGTTGCGTAGGAGAGGATTGTGGAGAAAACATTGAAGGACAACGTTCAGGAAGCAAGTCGCCCCCAGATTCCTGAAGCCACGAGGGACTACAGTGCAGGGCTGTAAGCATCAGCAGCGCTCAGCGGCACCAGCTCTATGGCCATCGCGCAGCCAACGTACCTCTACAAGATGCGATCGGTGGATGAGGTGGCTCATCGGCTGCTTGGGATTCTTACATAATCAGTTTGCCCTGCCAGGAAAGTCGTTCAGCATCGATGAGGTCATCGAAGACTCACAGGGTCCGAGTGGAATAGCACGTCTCCCATGCCGTGCTCGCGCCATCTCATGAGCTCTGATCCCATCGAAGCGAGCATCATACACCGTATCTTCGCAGGCATTGCAGTGTAGGTCGCCCGTCAGAATGTTCACGGCTAGCATGGCAGGAGTTGGACAATGATGAGCACATCGCAGCTCCACGCTTCGGCAGTCTGCCTGACTGATGGTGCTGCGCTTACCGAAAGGATGCTGCGCAGCTGACAAGTGTCGGTTTAGACAGTCTTGTCGATTGACGACGACGTGACATGCTGGAAAGGCACAAGATAAGCAGATCCAAGGTCGATGCAGCACGGATCGACACCCGCTACATTTAGGGTGGGGAAGAAGCTGGAGTGGATGGGGCCATGTAAGCATTGAGGTGGCCACCAGCAGGCCCCATCGCAGGCTGGGCGATCAC